CCCGGTCGGCCCCGCCTCTCACCCGCCAGCGCCGAGGTGAAGCAGAAGGCGTCGTAGCGGTCGCGCTTCCGGTCGCGGGGCCCATAGCTGCGGATCCCGGGCCGCCCTCGGCCGCCGCACGGGGCACGCGCCGTGAGCACCGGGTAGCGCACGGAGCCCTCGAGCAGCCAACCTGCGTTGCACCAGTCCAGACCCTCGGTCCAGGCTGGCGGGAGATGGAGGGCCCTGGGATGAAAGGTGTCCCAGACAGGACCCAGACCCCGAGCTCGCCCGCTTCGGCATCGGGGCTCCCGGGACCGCAGGGAGCGGGCTGGTTGGAGCTGGGGTCCGGCCGCTCACCTTGGTACAGCTGGCCGTAAGTGGCCAGGCGCCCGTCCTGCTCCTCGCACGCCTGTTTCGCCTCGTAGTAATTGAACTGGTACCGGCCCCGGCTGGGTTGGTACGGAAACACCACACCTAGGGTGCGGGGGGGCGGAGAGCCTGGGGAGGGCCGGCAGACCAGGTGGGAGGAAGGGCGGCGCCGCCTGGGAGCGGAGGCTGGGGGACCCGGGAGAGAGCGGGGAAGGTGCTGGGAGACAGCCGCGGGAGACCCGGGAGGCGGCCCTACTCTGCAGGAGAGGAGCCCCGCCTCACCCTCCAGGCGCAGGGTCAGCGCCACGCTTTCGTCCTCGATGCCGTTGATGAGCTCACAGCGGTACCGGCCCTCGTCCTCCAGGAGCACGTCCGCGATGACCAGGGAGGCGTCTAGCCGGTGCCCCCTCCGCATCCTGGCGCGCCCTCCCAGGGGCCCGTAGCCCCGGGCGTGCAGGCCGTTAGTGATGAGGATCAGCGTTTCCCGGAGCTCCCCGGGCTCCACTTTGCTCCAGCGCACCTTGTAGCTGGGAGGCGAGGCGCCCAGGACGCAGGGCAGCGTGGCCGTGGCCCCACGGCGAGAGTGAATGACCTCGTGGATGGGGGGCAGGAGGTAGTGGGGGCCCGGGTGGGATGCTGAGCAGAGGGGGCCACAATGGCAGGAACCCCCTTTTCCCCACTGCCCCCCAGTGCCCACCCAGACCCTGTGTCCCGAGTCCTGAGTGCTTTCCCCTGGCCCCCACCCCTCTCCTCCCCCCACTCAGCAATGGCGCTCACTCCCTGAGTACTTCCTATAGCTGCTCACTTTCCCCACCCCTGCAGCCTCTTCCTCAGTGTTCCCCAGAGTCTGGGCTGGGCTGGGCTGGGGTCTTACCTGGGTCCCCCAGGGCTTTATGGAAGATAGCAAAGACCCAAGGGAGAAGGAAGTGGCAGAGTGTGGGGAGGGCGAGCCAGCCTGCCATGGTAGGGAGTCAGCCCACAGGGTCTGCAGGGCACAAAGGGTGAACATTCCTGAGGGCCAGTAAGAGCAGGATGGGGGTGAGCTCCCTCTGGTGATTCCTAGGGGGACAGCCCAGCTGGAAGCCATGGAATAGGGCAGAGCTGGTGACCAAGAGTGGGGAGAGGGAATTGTAACACCCCCTCCCCTCTCCTGGCCCATGCGCCCTTGTCTCTCACAGTCTCCTCAGTCAACAGGGCCTGATTTAGCATGGCCTCTACCCTACCTGCTACCTTCCTCCCAAGCTTGCCATCTGGGCTGCCAGCTCCATCTCTGTCCTCTCCTAATGCCTGTTCTCTACCCCAAGCCAGAGTTAATATGAACTTTTCACTCTTCTGCTTAAAACAGTGACTGCCGATCTCCCTTAGGTGAACTCCAGTCTCCTAACACAGGTTCTAGGGCTCTGTGACCCAGCCTGTCCCGGCATCTCCGGCATCGGCCCCAGCACCCAGGTCTGCCCCTCACCACCCTCGACCTCTGTACTGTGCTCCAAATTGTCCAGTCCAAAGCCCTGGACTTCTGGCAGTTTCTGAAACAGTCCAGGTTCCTGCTCACCTCCTCACAACCATGGGTTTGGGCCTCACCGCCTCTGGGAAGCCTTTCTTTGTTCCTAGGTTGCTACACTTAGCTCCCTCTAGTCTAATGGCTTGGGCTGGAGACTCTTTTTCTTAGAAGCACCTAAACTAACAGTGTGAATTAGAAACTAATGTAAATGCATCTATCAATAGGTTTTCCAGAAGTTAGAAAGTTAAAAAGAATAGGAGCCAGCAGGTGGTGTAGCAGTTAGCACGCTGGACTCCCACCCCATGTGGCCAACCGCTGTTCAAATCTCAAACCCAATGGCTTTAAACTCAGGCCAGGCGTGTGTGTGTGTGTGCATGCCTAAAATCCTGAGAGAATGAAGAAGATCCCCTTGGGATTTTGGACAAGCGCACACATGCACCCAGTATGAGCTTCAAGCCACTGGCCTACCACTTGAATCAAAAAGCCCACCATATGGGGTCTAGCCACCTTAACCTCCAATGCCACATGCTGGCCCTCACTTTCACTAAAAAAAAAAAAAAAAATTTGGTGGGGCCAGCAGGTGGGTTGGTGGTTAAGGGCACTGGACTCCTACAGGGTCGACCACTGTTCAAGTCCCGGGCCTGACGGCTTGCTTTTTCACTTTCTCTCTCTCTTTCTTGCCCTCTCTCTCTGTCCTTCTCTGATCAAATTATAAATAAATAAATAAATAAAGTTAAATAAATAAATCTTAAAAAAAAATCGAGCTGGGCAGAAGGCCTCTTGACCTGGTTATGTAGTTTTCAAATTGGCTCCTCCACTTCCTAATTGTGTGACTGAACTAGTTGCTTAACTTCTCTCTGCCTCAGTATTCTCATAAGTAAAATGGACAATAGTAACACACATACCTCACTGAGTAACTGTGAGGAGACTAGACAGATTAATATATGTAAAATGCTGGGGCCAGCAGGTGGTGTAGTGGTTAGGGTGCTGGAATTCCCACATGGCCGACCACGGTTCAAGTCCCGGACCTGGTGGCTTGCTTTCTCACTTTCCCTCTCTCTGTCTTTCTCTGACAAAACTCATGTGAAATAATAATAATAAATAAATAAAATAGTTATTTAAAAAATATGTAAAATGCTTCAAATAATGCCTGATGTTATAAGTGTTATGCATGTGTTAACTATTCAGTTTCCAATATGATTTCTTGCATATAGTAGCAGCTAAATAAATATGTGTGCATTTTAATAAATAACTTCTGGAGCCAGCAAGTGGCATGGTGGTTAAGATGTCGGACACTCCCACATGGTTGACCATGGTTCAAGTCCCAGACCTGGTGGCTTGCTTTCTCACTTTCCCTCCCTCTCTCTGATCAAATTAAAATAAATGAATGAATAAATAAAATTGAATAAATAATTCTTTAAAATAAATAAAAGAGCTCATTTAAGGACTTCTGGCGGAAAAGGGATATGATATGGGGAGGAGGAAACACCCTGAAGAGTCTAGAGCCAGCAGGTGGCATAGTGGTTTGGGAGGCTGAATCCCATAGGGCCAACTCTGCACTTCAAATCTTGGTCCTGGTGGCTTGAAAAATACCAAGTGGATATGTATCTGTGCTCAACGTCCTGAGAGGAGAATGGAGTAGAAGGGAGTAGATGGTAGGCCATCCTCCCTTGGGGAGGGTGCTTTCTCACCTCTCCACCCCCCATTTCTCTGTCTGTCTCTGACCAGTGCACATGCTCTATAACAAAAATTAAAAGAAAAATAAAAAAAGGGAAGAAGTCTAAAGAGCTGAGCTCCATCTTCCTGCAGACGAGGGCCCAAGACCAGCCTGCAGTAGGAGAAACACAGGTTAGGCCCAGAAACTCAAAGTATCTGGGCCAGGGCCCCGAGGGATTCGGAACCACTTCTCTGTTACAGGAGGACCTGGAAATTACGAATGAACCTGGGGACTGATTCAGAGGCCCACGACGATGATAACCATAATGCTAATGATGGGTCAGTGTGTGTAGCCTTTAATGTGGCCACTGCTCTCAGCGCTTTACATGTATACGTTTTCGTTTTTATTTATTTATTTATTTTTGGAGAGGTTTTGCTATAGAGTGTGTGCACTTGCCAGAAAGACAGAGATAGAAAGCGAGAAATCACCCCCAGGGGGGATGGTCACGCCGCAATCCCTTCTCCATTCTCCTCTCGGGATCTTGGGCACACACGTACATGCGGCCAGTGTGAGTTTAAGCCACTGGGTCCGGGACTTGAACTACAGTCGATTACGTGGGAGTCCAGTGATGTAGCCATTACACTATCTGCTGTTACCTTGTTTTTATTTTTAAAGGATTATTTATTTAATCTTTATTTATTCATTCACTTATTTTTTAAAGAATTATTTTATTGAACTTTATTTATTTACTTATTTATTTTAATTTAACCAGAGAGTGACAGAGTGAGAAAGAGAGAGGGAAAATGAGAAAGCAACCCAAGCTGCCAGGTCCAGGACTCGAACCATAGTCAGGATACATCAACCATGTGAATGTATCCAGCACCTTAACCACCACGCCACCTGCTGGCTCCTTTGCTTTGTTTTTAGAGAGATTTTTTTCTATAGGGCACATGCGCTTGCCAGAGAGACAGAAAGTAAGAAATCACCCCCCCCCGCCCCCAGAAGATATGGCCAGGCCACAGTCCTGTCTTGTTTTTCCTTCTCTTGAGATTTTGGGCACTCACACACACATACCCGGTGTGAGTTTTAAGCCACAGAGTCAGAGACTCGAATCACAGTCAATCATGTGGGAGTCCTGTGATGTAACCATCTACTGATCCTAAGGTGCAATCTCTTCTTTTTTAATTAATTATTTTACCATTAATTAATTAAATTTGACCAGAGAAGGACAGAGAGAGAGAGAGGGAAAGTGAGAAAGCAAGCTACCAGGTCCAGGACTCGAACCTCAGTTCATCATGTGGGAGTCCAGCATCCTTAACCACACGCCACCTGCTGGCTCCAAGGCTTGGGGCTCTTAACCACTAATATCTCTGTATTCCCAAACAGGAGCATACACATTACCTTCTACCCCTTACAGAAAACGGAGTGGCCCGCACTCCATCACCTACCTGTCAGAAGGTGGTCTCGTCACAGGGACAGAGGGAGCCGTGTTCAGCGACTCTGACCTGCTGGAGGAGGCGGTTCCTGGGCAAGGTGTCACCTAGGCTCCTGGCAGGTCCGAGCACCTTAAAATCCCAGATTCTGAACCCTCGATCAGTGTGATTGTTCCTTTTGCACCTCTAATGAAAGTCTTCTGCCCTGTGCTCGAAGAGAAGATGCCAAGAACCATCCCCACAGCGTCCTCCCTCCCGCTAGTCCATGAAGTCTGGCTACGTGGCCAGTGTTCAGGCCTCTACATCTGTGCAGCTCACTGTCCTGGGTCCAGGGGAACGTGTCGGACTTGGGGTGAGGGATGGGAACCCATGAAAGGGGGTGGAGTAAAGGAGGGACCCAGGGATGATTACTTGGGAGAGTGCGGGCAGCGGGTGCCTCACTGCTTCTAGGTGCCCTTGGGCCAGGTAATAGGTTGGTTAGAGGGTAGGAGGGTGCCGGACCGGCAGGGCTGAGGATGTACCCCGAATGCGGCTTAAATGCCCATCGCTGTCAAGCTCCAGCTGGCTCCACATTTCCAAACGAGGCTTGCCCAAGCAGCACCCGCTTTCTGGCCTCCCCCACAGTCTCACCTCTGCCCTCCGGCGCTTGGGTGCACATTGCCTTTGGGAAGAGGCTCTCAAGGTGGGAACCAGATTTCCAGGGACTCCCAACTGCCTCAAGAAACCTGACCCCTTCTGTCCAGCCCCGCATCTGTCCATCTGTCTGTCCTATCCTTCTTTGTCCCCACCCCATTGGAAGCACAATTTCCCATTGTCTCTGTCTTTCTCCCCATTGTTGAATAACAGGGCCCCTTTCTTTATCCCGTGGGTAAGGGCAACGAAATGTCAGCAGCTGGGGGTGTGGGTGCAGGACCGGCTGGCACATGCCACCGGAAAAAGGGCCCGGTGGGGGCGGGCTCCCGTCAGGAATCCACATTCCCCAGGAGAAGAGAATGGGGTGCGGAGAGAGCGGGGATGGTCAGAGGGTTGAAATGGGGTCCCTCTCAAAGCTCAGTGCTGCAAGGCTCTGCAGTGATCTCACCTGAGGCCAAGGAAGGGCTCCATTCCGTGGGGGCCGAGGGAGTGGCTAGCTTTGGAGCAGGAGAGCTGAAACTCCACGGGAGGGGAACATGGGGGGTTTTGAGCATGAAGTGACCCGTGAATCTTTGAAACTCCCCAAAAGAGAGGCCATCTTATTTGTTTCCTAGTTTACCAGCTCCTTCCTCAGCATGGATAGGTAACTTTCTCTTTTAAAAATATTTATTTATTTATTTCCACTTGTTATTATTTTTTAAAAATCTGACCTGAGAGAGACAAAGAGAGAGAGAAAGGGAAAGTAAGAAAGCAAGCCACCAGGTTTGGAACTCAAACCACGGTCAGCCATGTGGGAATCCAGCACCTTTAACCACCACG